GCACTGTGGCTCAAGTGGTAGAGTGCTTGCCTTGAGCTGAAGAGCTGAGGGACAGCGCCCAGGCCCAGAGTTCAAGTCCCACAACTGACAAGGAAAAAAAAGAAAAGAAAAGAAAACCAAGAAACTATATTTCCTCCCTCAGACTTGGAAACCTGTCTCAAGTCTAGAATTCACTAGGTAGGCCCAGGCTTGGCTTTGAACTTCCAATTGTCCTGCCTCTGCTTCTTCCGGGCCGGGATTACACGCATGCCCCCCCATGCCCGGTCAATGTGGGGTCTTGAGCGATGCTCAACCCGACACGGCGGGCCTCCCTCACCAGCCTCACCTTGAGCTTCGGCAGGCGCTTGATGGTTTTGAGAGGCCGCAGCACCCGGAGCACGCGGAGGGATTTGATGGTGTTGATGTCCTTCCCTTTGCTGTTGCCTCTGTGGACGATGTTGGGGTGGGAAGAGAAAAAGCAGAGGTGAGGTTGGGAGAAGGGGGCAGGGCTGACGTTTGGTATGATTCCCCACTGCCCTAGGAGTTTGGGGTGAGCTTAGAACCCCCAACCTTTGCTTTCTAGAGCCAGTGAGGTTGGTTTTTTGTTTTCCTCAAGGTTGGTGCTTTACCACTTGAGCCGCAGCTCCACTTCTGGTTTTTTGTTGGTTCATTAGATAGAGATCGGAGTCTCATGGACTTTCCTATCTGGGCTGGCTTTGAACCTTGATCCTCAGATCTCAGCCTCCTGACTTGCTGGGATGACAGGTGTGAGCCACTGTTGCCAAACTTGGTCTGGGGGTTAACTGCCCCGCCCCCCCCCAGTTCTTGTGAGGTCTTTGTTCTGGTGTGTGTGTGTGTATGTGAAGATCCTATGTTCTTTTTAAGGAGGGCCATGGCGGCAGATGGGAGCCTTCCTCCTTCTAGAAGCATCTTCGAAGATGCTTGTGGTGGTGATGCACACCAGGCCCCCTCCCTCGAAGCCAGGGACAGGAAATGACCACAGCCGAGGTCAGTGCCCCCCCCCCACCTGGTGCCTGCACCTGGCAGGCTCAGCCTGCACGGGCTCAGCTAGTGGGGTGAGGGGACCCCTGGACTCCCCCCAGAACAGCATGGCGGGGGCAAGATGAACAGATCCCCAAACCCACCAGCCTGGCTTTCAGTGGCCAACCCCGCCCCGGGGCATCAGCGCCCCCAGTGTCCCCCATCTCATGGCCGCCCCGTCCTCTCCCACCTCCAGCCCTGGAGCTTCTGAGTTCTGAGCCAAGCCAGCCTCAGGGCCACGAGTTCGAGGTGCTCAGGCCCCACACCTTCCTGTGTCTTCGGGCCATGATCTTTGGCCTCTGACTGTGCTGTAATGTTGTCATTTTTTAATTTTGTTTGTTTTTTGAGATAAAAGTCTCACTGCGGGGCCCAGGCTGGCCTGGGACTCATCCTTGGCCTGCCTCAGTGCTGGGATGACAGGCGTGCGGCACCACCCCCGGCAGCTGCTAGATCACAGAGGGGAAGAGTGTCCATTCTCTGCCCCAGCCCCCCTGCTCCTGGCTCTGGCTTGTCTGCGCCTCTGTCGTCTGGGGTGTGGGGGTGTCACTGCTCACTCCAGCTCTCTGAGTCATTAGAAATGGGTCTCAAGGAGGGTGTACCCCACCCGGTGAATTTGGGGCAAGAATGATCAGAATGACAGGATCAGATTCTACATGTGTGTGTGTGTGTGTGTGTGTGCACACGCGCATCTGTGCTGGTCCTGCGGCTTGAACTCAGAGCCTGGGCACTGTCCCCGAGCCTTTTTTTTTTTTTTTGCTCAAGGCTGGCGCTCTACCGCTTGTGCCACAGCGCCATTTCTGGTTTGTGTTTTTGGTGTTTAACTGGTGATAAGTGCCTCCCAGACGTCCCTGCCCAGAGGTTGGACCTTTGAACCCCGATCCTCAGATCTCAGCCTCCTCCTGAGGAGCTGGGATGACGGGCGTGAGCTACTGGTGTGGAGTTCTGTCGTCACTGGAGTAAGCGGCAGGACAGTACTGAGAACACAGGGCCAGACAAAGGAGGCCCAGAAAGCACGTGGCTGACAGCAGGAATGGAGGACGAGAGAGAGAGAGAGAGAGAGAGAGAGAGAGAGAGAGAGAGAGAGGGAGAGAGAGAGACAGAGACAGAGAGACACTTTACCGTGCGCTGCTCCTGGGCAAGTGATGTGGCGGGGGAGACAGACGGTGAGTTTCCTCAGAGGAGAGAGAACACAGAACACGCGAACACGCGAACACGCACAGACACACGAACGCCTGGGCCCAGGCCTCCCCTCCTCCACCCCCGGCCGCGCTTCCAGCTGCACACCTTCCCGTCCACGCCCGCCCCGAACCCCAGGGTCCACCAAACACAGATTTCCAGGAGTAGGACTGCCCCAGGGCTGGCAGGAACTACAGGAGCACTCGACACTCCTGTTTGCTGCTTAGAGCTGGCAGACCCCCTTTTTCCATTTGGGGCTCTGGGGAGGCCTGAGCTGGTCTTAAAGGAGGTGACTAGGGAGGGGGTCTAGGCTTGACTGAGCTCCTCAGTGCCAATGACCCTCCCCTGGGAAATGGGTGGGTGGTGATAGAATGCTCTGGAAATGGTTTGGTGTTGGGTTTGAACTCGGGGCTGTGCTTGCTTGTCAGGCACTTGGGTCATGTCCCCAGATCATTCTGTTATAGTTATTATTATTTTCTAATGAAATCTCACATTTATGAGCAGGCTGGCGTCAGATTGCAATCCTCCTATTTATACTTCCCACATGGCTGGGATGACAGGGATGCTCCACTGGGTCCAGCTATGCATTGTGATTGGGGTCTCCTGGCCTTTTTTGCCCTGGAATTGCTATCTTCTCAATCTCCACCATCTTTGCCTCCTCAGCCTCCTGAGGAGGAGCTGGGATTACAGGTGTGAGCCACAGTACCTGACTTTTGTTTGTTATTGAGATACAGTCATGTTATGTTGTCCAGTCAATCTCTAGACTTCTGTGTTTAAGAGATTCTCCTGCCTCAGCTTCTTTGTAGCTGGGATCCAAGTGTGTGCTGTGTGCGTGTGTGTGAGTTCTGGGTCTTGAACTCAGGGCCGGGGCTTTTTTTTTCCACTTGAGGCTGGCACTCTACCACTTGAGCCACATTTCCATTTGAGCCACATTTCCACTTGTGGCTTTTTGCTGGTTCACTGCAGATCAGAGTCTCATGGACTTCCCTGCCTGAGCTGGCTTTGAACCTTGATCTTCAGATCTCAGCCTCCTGAGTAGCTGGGATGACAAGTGTGAGCCACGGCACCAGGTCAGTGATACATTTTTAGAACGCACAGAATAGCTTCGCTGCCCGGGCCTTCTCCTGGGCTTCCTCCAGGCCCCCCCCCCCCAACCTCTGGCTGTGGGAGTTTTAGCTTCCTGCTTTCTGGGCTGGTGCTGGTGGAGTTTCCACCAACGCTGATTTCCACTGATCTGCCGTTCTGCTGTGGCGCGTGGTGTCCTGGGACCATCCCTGGCCTGTACCAACCCAGTGCCCTTTTGCATCGGAGGAAGCCTAGTGGGGTGGTGATTTGCAAGGGTACACGGCCAAGCCAGCACCAGCGCTGGATTCAAACCCAGAGCTGCCGATCTTGTACTCAAACCTCAGAGCTCATCACGGTCGGGGAAAAAAAACAACAACCCACAAAAAGCCAACTTGATCGATGCCTTTGGCAATGGGGAGGAAGTTGCTGATTGGCTTCCTGGAAATGTGGTTGGTGGGCACTGGTTGGAGGCGCTGCCGGGCCTGGAGAGGACGGGCGGCACCAGGCCGGTGGCGGGCAGCGGGGGCAGGGTGGCCACCGCCAGCCACTGCCCCGCCCAGGGCACCGGGACGCGCGGGCTGATGACACATGGATGTGGCTCACGGTTATTGGATGGACGACACACATGCGCGCGCGCACACACACACACACACACACACACACACACACACACACATCACCGAGAAGCAGGAGGTCTGGGAAAGTTCTGGAAAGCTCCAACAGAGCCTTTGGGGCTCCCCTGGGGCTTTGGCCCCTGCTGCTGTGGCTGCAAGGATTTTTTAGTTTTTGGTGCCAATCCTGGGCCCTGAACTCAGGGCCTGGCGCCGTCCATGAGCTTTCTTTGCTCAGTTCTGGCGCTCTGCCATTTGAACCACAGTGTCACTTCCGGCTTTTGGGTGGTTCAGCGCAGGCTGGCTTTGAACCGCGATCCTCAGACCTCAGCCTCCTGAGTAGCTAGGATGACAGGCGGGAGCCACCGGTGCTGGGCTTCCTTCCCTCCTTCCCTCCTTCCCTCCTTCCTCCGCTGGGGTTTGAACTCAGGGCCTCGTGCTTCCTAAGCAGGTGTTTTACCCTTCAACCATGTCCCCAGCTTTGTTTTTCGGACGGGGTCTCAGACTGGTCTTCTCCCACCTATGCCTTCCCATAGCTGGGGCTGTAGGCCTGAGTGACTCCACCTGGCCAGTCGGTTGAGCTGGAGGGGTGGGGGATGGCTCATAAATTTATTTATTTATTTATGTTTGGGTCCGGTTGTGGGGCCTGAACTCTGGGCCTGGGCGCTGTCCCTCAGCAATTCAGCTCAAGGCTAGCGCTCTACCACTTGAGCCACAGCGCCACTTCCGGCTTTTTTTCTTTTTGCTTATGTGGTGCTGGGGAATCGAACCCAGGGCCTCATGCATGCAAGGCAAGCGTCTACCACTGAGCCACCTTCCCAGCCCTGGCTCATAAATTTTATGCTGTGGCTGTCTTCCATTCTAGATTCTTGATCTTCCTAAACTCTTACACCCCCCCCTCCCCCAAAGCTGCTAGGATTCCAGGTGGAGGATGGGCTATCATTGGGAACAATGGGGTTCATCTACTGTCTGTAATCTTCACCTTGGTCTGGGCCCAGGGGACAGAGCAGAAGGTGTGGCAGAGGAAGGGGCGGGCCTGAGCCCTGGTCCGTCCATCCCTAACCAGAGAAAAGGCAAAGGCCTCGCGGCCGGCCCAGCCAGACACCAGCTGGGGGTCTCCACTCCCATCCCGCTTCTCATCATTTCAAGGTGTTCTGGGCCGGGCAAGACCTCCCACCTGCCTGTGCCCGCGGGGGCTCCCGGTGACCTGAAGGCCCTGAAATGGGGGTAGGGGGAGCTCCCCTCAGAACGGAGCTGAAGGGCGCGGGGTAGTTTACAGATGGACTCAGAGAACAGTTGAAGCACTTTGAGTGGAGGCTGGGGGCGTGGCTAGGCTTCGGGGCGTGGCTAGGCGTTTGGGGCGTGGCTAGTCATTCTGGGCACGGCCCATTGACAAGGGGGCGTGTCCTAGCGCTAGGGGAGTGGCCGCGTGAGGGGTGTGACTCCGGCAAGGGGCGTGGCTTGCCATCAGGAGGCGTGGCTCCGTGCTGAGGGCCTGGTTAGCAAGGCAGAGTATCTGCCTGGAAAACACCTGGACCTGAGTTCAAATCTTCGTGCCCCTTCCTTCCTCCCCCCTCCCCCCAAAAAGACTTGTGGTGACTTCAGAGACCCTAGGCGTAGATCGAGGGGTGAGCACCCCACAATGGCGCCGGCACTGGGTTGACAGGCTGGCTCTGAGGTCTGCCGGCTCCCACACAAGAGGGGCCTCCCCGGGGCGGACTTTTCTCGGGACACAGCTGGCAGAGGCCGCACTGTGTGGGGGACCAGGGACCCAGGGACCCGGGGACCCTCATCTGGGCCCAGCCTGGCCTCATGGGAAAGGAGGAAGCTGAGAAACAGAGAGAGGAAGGGGGGAGGAAAGGGGAGGGAGGAGCAGGAAGTAGGGAGGGGAGGGGAGGAAGGGCAGAGCGGCCGGGCCACTCTAGCTGGAGGGCTGCAAAACGCTGCCACTGTTTTGTCGTCGTTTGTTCGTTTGAGACAGTGTCACCATGTCATCCAGCCCCCCACGGGCTGGGAGACAGGAGTGGAGTGCCATGGCTGGCTGGAAAGTTCTGTCGGTATGCTTTGCCCACGGATCCACTGCGGTTTAGTGTTTCTTATTGGTTTGCACTGAATGTTACATTATTAAGGAAACTGCTTGTCATTCGTACACACACACAAACACGTATGTATGCGTGTAGGCATGCATGTATGTGGGCATGTATGTGTAGGCATGTGTGTATGTACGTACGTGTGTCATGACACGGCTGTGCAGTCTAGGTGGCCCAGAACACTCACAATCCCCCCGCTGCTACTTCCAGAACATTGGAGGTTACAGGTGAGTCGCCACCCCTGGTGACCCCCGTCCGCTTTTCAGGGGCACTCTTTCTCCTTGAATTTGCTGTGCTTTCTTTTCTTTTTGTGCCATTCCTGGAGTTAGAACTCAGGGCCTGGGCTCTGTCCTGCAGCTTTTTATTTGTTGATATATTTTTGCTCAAGGCTGGTGCTCTACCATTTGAGCCATGGCTCCACCTCTGGCTTTTCGGCTGGTTTATTGGAGATAAGAATCTCACAGGTTTTGTTTCTTTTCCTTGCCCAGGGCTGGCTTTGAGCTTAGGGCCTCCGACCTCAGCCTCCTGAGTAGCTGTAGCTGATTCTAGGCGAGGGCCTGGCCTTACTTAGCATTCTATTTATTGGCTACAGTGTTTCCTGATAGTATAGCAGAACCCTGACTGTATACTATTGCTTTAATAGAAGACAATGCTTGGTATGTTGGGGCCCTGAGTTCCATTTCTATTACTCCAAGGGAGGGGGGAGGTTAAGAGGGATGGGGGAGGAAGAGAAGAAAGAAAAGCAGACAAGGTGGCCAGGAAGGCAGAAGAGGGGGAGAGGAGAGAGGAATGGGGGGAGGGGGAAGTCAGGCAAGGGCCGAGTCCCCTCCTTGGTAGCATGGACCCTACCCTGGGAGGCACCCAAAACCTTTGGCGACTTCCGGTTCTCTGAACACAGCTTGACGCCATGCATTGCCAGGAAGAGGAGAGCAGCAACCTCCTATAGTCCACCCCTGGAAATGGGCCACTGACTCGGACCCCACTGTCAGGTCCAGGTTCCCACTACATCCGGCTAGCAGGAACGGGGAGGGGAAGGCACAGAGGACCCCCAAATCTCACTATGGAGCTGTCTTTAGGGATTCTCACCCTGGGGGCACACCCAAGCCCCCCAAAATTCTCTGGGTCTGGAGCTTCTCACAAATCTCAACCTGCCTCAGCGGAGGCGTCAGCTGCCAGGGCCCCGGGAGCTTAGAGGGGCTCAGACCCTGGGCCCCATCTTGGGATGCACCCCTATCTCAGGGACCCCTGGGCTGCCCAGGGTCTGGGCTTCATCTCGAAGCAGCCTGAGGGCGCCATCTTGAAATGGATACCCAGAATTTGAGCCAAGGTGCTGCTCAGTCTTTGTAAGAACATGTCTGTCCTTTGGGGTGTCATCTGGTGGTGACTCCGCCCCCCAGCTGGAGGGGGGGAAGGGGGGATGCCGTCCAGAAGCTGGACGCCACATCCAGAGCGACTGTCCACTGCACGGGGCCATCTTGAAAGGGCTGCTCAGAACCAGGGTGCCATCTAGAACGGACGCTGCCCCACAATGTGGCACCCCTCTTGGAGAAATCGCCCCCTGCAGCTGGGGTGACCCGGCCCAGGGCGGCGTCGGAGGAGAGAGATGCAGCCAGTGCCAGGGCTACACCCGCGGCTTGGAGGGCCACAGGTGACGTGTGTGTGTGTGGGGTTCTCAGACACACTCATTTCCGGGTTGTCTTTTTAGGGGGACTATCCCCCAAAGAGACAGCGGTGATCCGGGGAGGGGATGAGATGTCGGCGCTAGTCTACAGAAGCGGCGGCGGCGAGGTGGTGAGTATGGGGGCCTCGTCAGGTGATGGAGTCATGCAGATGCAGCCCTCCCCGTGCATGCTGCCCCCCCCCGCACCCCTCGGCCACAGGGAATAAAAGAGCTCCATGGAGGCCTCGAGGGGAGACTTACGTGAAGGCAAAGGCCACCAGGGCCCCACTGACCACAATGAAGTCCAGAATGTTCCACAGATCCCGGAAGTAGGCGCCCTGATGCAGGACAAGTCCCAGGTCGATCATCTGCGGGTAGGGAGGGCGGTGAGGAAGAAAACAGGGTGCTCTGGTCCCTCCTCCTGGCTGGGGGGGGGAGCGGGACAGGGGTCACAGCCACCTGTCTGCCCTGGGGGAGGGGTGTCCCACGTGGAGGAGGGGCGCAGGAGGCCTGCTCTGACTGACAGGCTCTGAAGCCCAGATCCTGGGGCAAGGGAGGGAAGTCTGGATTTGTCTGAACCCCAAGTCCACAACCCTATGAGCTCTGCCTCCCAAGAACCTGCCCACTCCTTTGTCCCCTCCCCCTCCTTTCCCCCCCATGGCTTCCAGGTCCTGCCCCTTCCCTGTCACCCTCCTCCAACCCTAATGGATGAGCAACGGGGGTACGGGGGGCCCCCCAAGACCCTCACCTTGATGACCATCTCGAAGGTAAACACGCCTGTGAAGACGTAGTCAAAATACCGCAGCACCTGGGCGGGAGACGGAGGGGTGGACAAAAGGGGACCCGGGGTCACCGGCTTGCTCTGCTCCCCCCAGTCCCCTCCCCACCCCCTGCCTCCCCCTGCCCGATGATCAGCGACCTGGTACCAGGGTCTGCCGGGCTCCAGGGACAGCGGAGGGTGCTGTTACCAAGCACGGCCACCAGAGGGCGCCGGAGACCACGCGAGCCGAAGCCGCCGGACCCCCCCCCCCCCGGGCTCTGCAGTGGGTGCGCGGCAGCCTGGAAGGGGGGTCGGAAATCTGCCCCCCCTCCTTCCTGTGTGCCCGAGTTCAAACACCACTTCCTCAGGGAAGCCGTCCCCCCGGCCACCTGCTTAAAAATGCCACTTTTGGACCTGGTTGTGTGTGTGTGTGTGTGTGTGTGCGTGTGTGCGCGTGTGTGTGCGCGTGCGCGTGGCTCAGCGTAGCCTAGGTAAGGCCCTGGGTTCCCCTTCCTTAGCGATACAAAAATGACACGGATACAATCTGTGTCTCCGCTTCTGGGGCCCTTCACACCTCGCGAATCTGCACCCCTCGGCCCCGCCCTTCTGGGTCCCCGCCCATCTTCCCAGGTCACCCCTCAAGCACAAGGCCGCCACTTCCTTGGCGCCCCCAGCTTAGGATAGGGTCAAGGCTCAAGGACTGTTTGCTGTGCCGGGCTCGGTGGCGGACACCTGTAATCCCAGCACTCACCCATCCCATCACTAGACACCCGACCTGTGCCGCGCGCAACCTGCAGCCTCCGGGGGC